CCACATAATAAGCAACGCTTAGAAAATAAATGGGCACCTCGATGTGGTGTAATGGTTAGCAAGCTTGTCTCGCTAGAACAGTTACGACTGAATAGTGAGTTCAATCCTCACTGTGTGCCACATCTGAGCTACGCTTGGAAAATCTCTCTATATATGTATGTATGATTTCCTGATGATATCGGACTGGATCGAGGTCGATCGCAGATTGCGGCTTTCTTTGGAAAGTGCCTTTAAAACCATACCACGAGTTGGCCCAATCTGCTTCTCTGAGTGAAATTGGATAGACGGAAAGATCTGACTGTTGATAGCTGTTTAGTAGCATCGATTTTACAAGTCATCGTGGCCGAAGTCTTGAGCGTGCTGGCCTTGTTCAAATTGTTGATCAAGCTAGATAACAGAAACTGTAACTAAGGTTTGCTCAGAATATTTGAAATAAAACAGGCGGGCTCATTATGTACGTTGAGCAAACACAAATGTGCCTGATCGAACGTCTGCAATAGGGATTGACTAGCAGCCCTAGTAGAAAGAATTAACGATGGCGCCTGAGACCCCGGGTTGAGTGGACGGGTAATTGGGGGGGGTCTACAAATTTTTTTGAGTTCGGATGGTGAAGGTAACATCAATCAGCTAAGTGACAAGTCTTTTACTTGTATATATTTTTTCTCTTCTCTCTTTTTATATATATATATATATATATATATATATATATATATATAGGATATAATAGTAAAGAAAGATTTTCCATGTATGTTTTTTTATAATATGTAGATATAATAGGCCAGTGAAAGAAATTCGAGAAATAAAACACATTTGGTCAATAGGCCTACTAATATAAAATAAATATCATAAGTGTTATTATTATTATTATTATTTTTGATGTCTCGATTTTTTTTTCACTGGTTTATTATATATAATACAACACACACATTTAACACACACTTGATAATATATATTATATATATATATATATATATATATGGAGATATAGAGAGAGATTATAAGAGAGAGAGATAAATGAGAGAGACCGAATCTTAATAATCGCAATTGTTCCAATTTGACTTGTTAACTATTACACCATTTTAATGGATATAAGTATATGAGTAGTCTCCCCCTATTTTTGTAAATTTCTGAGAATTACATCTTTATGCCTTGTTCTTAATGTCTTAATATAGAAAAATATGTAAATTTTGGTAAAAATCGAACCTGCGTCTCTCTTTGTACAGGAAGCAAATGTTATGGTATAATGGTCAAAAAGTTAAACTAGTTGGCTAACCGTTATTGAATGCTCCGTATATGTATCCCTGTGTCAGACTAAGCGAGCTTAAGGAGATACTGATACTAAAACGCGTGTAGGAGACTCATTCTGATGTAACAAGCTAATCTGGTAAGTCTTTTATTTAGTGAGTTCGTTCCTCACCAAGTGCACCGTATATGTAACCTTGTATCAGAGTTGAAAAGATGCTGATATTGAAACTTAAATTTTGGTGTAATGGTTAACGAGTCAACCTGGCCGGTAAACCATTATTTAGTTAGTTTGTTCCTCACTAGGTGCTCCGTATGTCAGATCAAGCGAGCTTTATATATACTGATATACAAGTTAAATCGTTCGAACATTATTATTCTGATATACAATCATAATTAGAGATCTACATACAGAGCAATAACGAGTACTATATTTTAGCCGGGGTTAAAAAAAAAGCCTGCTTCTTCATTACAAAGTGCTTTGTATAAAATGCTATCTCATCGACAGTTGCTTTTTTATAACTAAATTTATATAAGTTACAAATTAAACTAATCACAATTGACTATTAAAGGATGAAATATTTTCGCGGATTTTGACTTTCTTCTGGGGTCCTTTTTTGTCCAAATCCGTGAATTTGTTTTGCTTTTGCTAAGTCTAGAAATAACATTATATAAAAATCACTATTTTTAATCGATAATTTTGAATGTGTTAATATTCTTCAACATTTTAACAAGAAAAAATCTCCAGCTGATGTTAAAAAATTGCCGTAAAACATTGTTGAATTATTTAAGATGGATCTATTATGACATGTCTCTAATTTAGAGACATTGTGTTAATTTCAATTTTTCTACTTGAGTTATTCACGAATATTGCATATGATCCATTATAGTACATAATTAGGTTACAATAAAACTTGTATTTTATTTGTATACTACCTTATGAAAATTGTGATGTAGCAGTCGGGTCCCCGTATCATAAACTTGAATATGCGACTTTATATCAAAATGAATATGCGTGACTGATTTTTTTTTCACATTTAAGTCATTAAATAAACATAGTTAAGTCAGCCCATTTCTTTTCTGTCGTCTGAGTAATAGCAAGTCACAGATGTTAATGACAAGTCAGGTCGAAAACGCGCGCTGTGCTATGGTACCCACTCTCCAATCAAAAGCAAGGGCGGAGGCTCTGGTGTCGCTATTAAAAGGAGCTCACAGCCAAGTTTGGCACCAGTAATGAGAAGTCGCTGGTGGAGACGCTGGACCATAGCTTACCAAATCACAGAAAAGTTAGAGAGAATTATCATTAGGCTCTAACTTAAGATGGGAGTTTCTCTGGTAATGCTCTTGTCTTTACTGTACGGATATCAGTACACTCAAGGTAAGGATTCGCTACTTGCGGTTTATTTTATTCTTGTATAATACGCATTGAACTAACAACTACCCTTCGTATACGCGGTTTAACACAATCACGGATTGAAAATATTTGTAAAATATATTCTCAAAAGTTCCAAAAGCAAGAATTGAATTCACAGTATCCATGTTCCCACTCGTATAGAATGTGACACAAGGTCAAAGTTTATAGTGGGTAACCGTGCAAAAAAATTGCTCGATCCCCCTTCGGCATATCTATCGGCGCCGGACAATCACCATGACTACTCCTCAAAGTGAGGTAATGTCTGGGGGATGGTCTTTCATTTGTAGCCCAAACTTACAGCTCGGCTGTAATGAAGTGGCGTATGGGTATTTCGTAAGAATTCAGTCATCGTTTCCGCTGTGTTCATCTTGAGTTTTATACGATCGTTATTTGTGTTGTGTGAACTTTTTTTTCTATTTCTAAACTTTGTAATGAAGATTTATATGAAAAATCTGATATTTTATACGTACTGAAAATTTTAAATTCAAGGATCTTTTCTCTTAATTCACCCCAAATAATGTAAAGTTACTTATCGCAAATACTAATTCCCCCCAAGAAATTATAAATTTTAAATCAAAGTTTGTTTGATATATTTTAATTAAATTTTTGAATCTCTTTTGAAATTATAAATTTTAAATCAAAATTTATTTAATTTTCCTCGCAACAACTCCAACACTCAGAATGAAAATTTACCAAAAATCTGGAAATTATTCACATTTCCTATGTGTGGATGATATTCGAGGTACTTAGAAGGAATTTTATATAATTTAAAAAAAAAAGAAAGAAAAAAAAATTTTGGCTTGTTTATCGGGATGAGCGCAAATGCAGACCCCACACTTAGAAATAGCGCACCCAAGTTGCAAACATTTGGGTCGATCGCAAAGCTCAACTCAACCGGAATATAATGGAAGGGCCTCGCTCTTGGAGAATTTGGTGTGAATTTTAATCAATACATAAATTCTTTTTATTTGTGGTGAATTAACAGATAAGATCCAAATTCAATAATCTCTTAACTTTTAGTAAATTTTTAAACTTGTGTTTTTTTTATTTCTTTTTTTTTTCAGCGAAAGATTACTTACATCAAATTTCAATACGTTTTTTCGTACGGGTAAACATCTCACATTATCACTTTTGTCTGGTTTTATAGATTTTACGCCAATAATTTTTATATCGGAATTTTTTTCCAGATTTTCTTCTCACTGATGATGAAAAGATTATGACACTATAATTTATTTTTATATCGCGTTTAATCTTTTTTCCTCTTCCGATACCGATTAAAAAAAAGAAATCATTTCACCTCAAGCAGGGCAATAAATCCACTAAGATGCAAAGGGTTACTAAATGTGAGAGAAATCGAGAAAAAACATTATTAAGGGGAAAGAACAATAAAAGAATAGGAATTAAGAAAACAGAAAATAACGATTGACATTGCATTTAATTTTTGGAGATCAAAGTTGACTGGAAATCAAGAAATCAGAAGAGTTTCATAAGCAAAAAGTGCGAGGGAAGAAACTGTTAGCATAGAACTTACGGTTATATCTAAAAATGTCAGCTGTAAAATGATGAAACCTTGGGGGGTCAATCTAATACTACGCTTAAAATCATAAAATCTATGTACGATAATGGAAAGTTCATCAGAGCAATTACGATGAAAATATTTATAGAAAAGACAAAGGAAAGCTATGTCACAGCGGTTGGAATGTGACATGCCAGGTCATGACCAATAACATTGCATATTCTTCTTGGTATTTTATTAAGAATTTCTAATTATATGACTAGACAAGATGTGGCAGCAGTATTCAATGCATGTTTCCTGGAATTGATTTACTGCCTATTATTTTTTGTTTATGTCTACAGCTTAAAATTTTTACATAATATTTAGATTGTATAATAGCAGGAGCATCAAACCAGATGGCAACAATATTTAAAGCACAGATGAATGGTAGATTTCTAAATGTGCAAGATGGATCCTGGCGATAAAAATTCTGGCACGACACAGTGGGACAGACCTAGCAATTGATTCAATATAATCATTCCACTTCATGTCAGCGAAAGGCATGAACCCAAGAAAGTTGCTCTCCTGGAGGCCAATATATATCTATGAACATACCATTGGGAGATGCACATAAGAAATATGTTAAAAACTAAAATGTAAGGATAATTAGACATGGGAAAAATGTTGTTTGTTTGTTTTTGTTTAGTGATACATGTCTTACTAATTAACCCATAGCTAGGGGAAGAAGATGTGGATTCATATCTTTCCCAAGGGTATTTGCGTGTAAGTGAATATAAAGAGTCCAATTCCGAGCCTTTATCTATTTATTACACCATCCGCACATCCAAGCTTACTGCACCTGTTATTCCGAAGCAGTCATCCACCCAGGTACTGAGCAGGATCAATGTTGCTTAAATTCGGTGATCGTACGGGGACCGGTATTTCAACGTGATGCGTCCGTAATCATTGTAAAAAATGAATGAACGAAAGTTTTGGTGAGAAAAATAAAACGCATTTAATAAACGTCAATACAAAAAATAAACAATTCCAACATTTAACTTGTTTTCACGTATTCCATCTTTACATACTTTCACATTAATCAGTTATCACTGTGTTGTGTAATCTCGAGAGAATTTAAAATATACGGGAAGACATGCGTAGATTATATGCGAATACTACGCCATTTTATCGAACGAGAATTTTTTGAAACCCGCTGACGCGTGTTGAAATCAGCACAATATTCAGTCTTGTTGAATTTATCGCTGACATTTTTGGCCGAGATTTACAAACTCTACGTTTCTTTCAATTTCTGAAACCAATCGATGAAAATTTTAAATAAGCTTTGTTTTGAAAAATAGTTTGAAAGAAACCCCAAAAAAGGCCAAAAAAATACAACTTCGCGGTTTAATAATTTCTTTAATTGATTTAATTTTATAGGACTTCATAGTAAACAATATTCTTTAAGAAAATTTATTTTTCCCTTTTTCCTTTATATATATATCATCTTTTATAAAAATATATATCATGATCTTATATATATATATATATATATATATATATATCTTTATCTCATATATATATATATATATATATCATTATATATATATCGTTATCAGATATGTAATCGATATATATATATATATATCGTTATCACACACACATATATATATATATGTATGGTTATCTCATATGTATATACATATATATATATCCTATATACATATATATTGTCATATATATATCGTTATCAGATATATATATATATATATCATATATATATATATATATATCATATATATATATATATATATATCTCATATATATATATATTATATATATCTATATATATATATATATTATATATATCTCATATATATATATTATATATATCTCATATATATATATTATATATATATCATATATATATATATATATATATATATATATATATATATATTATATATATATATCATATATATATATTATATATATATATTATATATATATATATATCAGAATATATATATATCGTTATCAGATATGTATACGATATATATATATATATCGTTATCACATATATATATATCGTGTTCATATATATATATATCACATACATATAGTTTTCTCATATATTGTTACCTCATATATATATTTCTCGTTATCTTATATATATATATATATATATATATATATATATATATATAAGATTTCACTAAAATGTAAAGTAAGCAGCTTGTAAATGATTATTCTACAAAGGCACAGCGAAAAACAGAGAGTTCAATGACATATTAAATGGCTAAGCATTAATATTGATAAATAGATTCCCGGAGGACAGTGGCGACCACAATTAAAAGTTTCAAAGTGATCTTAATGTCAGATTAAATAGTGTGCGTTAATATTTCTAAATTTCCGATGAAGTATGTTCAACCACAACTAACAGATTCAAAGAGAGCTTCATGCCAAATTAAATGGAAATTCGTTAATATTTGTAAATTAATTCCTGCTGAATATCGTCCGACCACAACTAAAAAGTTTCATGTGTTTTTTGCAATCATCAAGCAGTTAGGTATTTCAAAAATCACGCTCACAGGTATATATATATATATATATATATATATATATATATATATATATATATATATGTGTGTGTGTGTAACGCATGAGGGTGTGGTTCTTTGAAGTAACGAATAATGTAATAAATAAAACGCAGTGAAAATTCTAAATGTATTTTTAACTAAATAACTTGAAACCTTCTTTGACAATGGCTTATAAATGCCGAAAACGATCAGAATTTTGACAAGCTGCTTAAATACATACCCACATGCACATACACCTATTGATATATGTGTGTGTGTGTGTGTTTGTGTGCGTGTGTGTGTGTGTTCATGCTTGTATGTATATGATGTCAAATTTATATTAGATTTGGCATCTTACCGCACATACATGCGCAGATGCGCACACACATATATGCACACTTACACACATATACATATATATACGAAAGGGAGCTGAAAATCCTCGTTATCTATTCAATCACTCCCCTCATTTATGGGTTAAATAGCAAGGTAGACTATGCTCGGTTGGGAAAGTTAAACAGAAGAACAAATTTAAATTAAAAACTGGAGTAGGTAGCTAGAAAACACTCTATAAACAATACAGTTAACAGATTTTAAATAAAAGAAGTCTGTTAATCCAAAAGATGGCTACGTCCTAAAGGGATATGGTACTTTTCTATCATTTCACCCAAAGCAAGGCAATAAAGTCACTAAAATGCAAGGAGTTACCAAGTATGCAAAAGAAAAACGTCATTACGGTGAGAGAACAATAAACGAACAGGAATTGAGAAAAAAAACGATTGACATTGGATTTAATTTTATTGAATATTAAAGTTGACTGGAATGCAAGAAGCCGGAAGTTAGTCCTACGAGAGGAGATCGAGCGAAGAAATTGTTAGCGTAGAACTTACTGTTACATGTAGCCGTCTAGTACTACGCTTAAATTCTTAAACTTAAAGAAAGATAGGATTCGGTCTCCAGTATTCTTTAAAAGAAGATTGGAAACTGTCGCACACATCTATACGGTGAAGAGCGGGAACCAGGTTTTATATTCAAACCTTTATGATTTTGGGTTAAATTTTTCCTGCACTCATCCGACCTGAGTTTTATAAACCCAAATGCAGTCGTGACCCAAGGATTGCTTACAATACTGCGTTTCTGATATCAAAATCCATAGACGCTATTGCCCCGAAGATAAAAAAGGTGCTACATTTGCAGATAACTTACGGCCATTCTCTTGTATGTCTTAAACCATATCTAGATTTCTTATAACACCTAATATAGTCATCCCTCATCATCCGCGGGAAATTACTTGAAAGAAACCGCATTGCTGATTCAAAAATCAGCACATCTATCTATATATAAAATTCTGTGTGCCTTTGTAGAATAATCATTTAGAATCTGCTTACTTTACATTTTAGTGAAATTATATATATATATATATATATATATATATATATATATATAAGATAACGAGAAATATATATATGAGGTAACAATATATGAGAAAACTATATGTATGTGATATATATATATGCGAACACGATATATATATATGTGATAACGATATATATATATATATCGTATACATATATAATGATAACGATATATATATAATGATATATATATATATATGATATATATATAATATATATATATGAGATATATATATATATATATATATGAGATATATATATAATATATATATATGAGATATATATATATATATATATATAGATATATATATATAATATATATATGAGATATATATATATAATATATATATATGATATATATATATATATATCTGATAACGATATATATATGACAATATATATGTATATAGGATATATATATATGTATATACATATGAGATAACATACATATATATATATATGTGTGTGTGATAACGATATATATATATATATCGATTACATATCTGATAACGATATATATATAATATATATATATATATATATATGAGAAAAGATATATATATATATATATAAGATCATGATATATATTTTATAAAAGATGATATATATGAGATAAATATGAGATAATGATATATATATATACACATTAGATAGCGATATATATATATATATATATATATATATATGAAATAGCGATATATATATACATCTATGAGATATGTATGTATATATGTGACATATATATATATATATATATGAGATAGCTATATATATCTGTAAATATATATATGTAAATACATATACATCTATATATGAGATAACTATATATATATATATATATATATATATATATATATATATTGTTATCTCACATATACACATATATATACCGTCATATATATCATTATGTCATATATATATCGTTATCTCATATATTGATATCTCATATATTTATATGATTATCATTATGTATATATATATATATATATATATATATGAGATAACGATATATAATTATGTATAAAAGATAACGCTATATGTATATGATATGATTATATCACCACGGAATTTGTGAGTAGCGGCGCTATATCGAGTCTATTCAGATTCTTCTTCGTGACCGTTGGTACAGTTGGTATGCCGCTTGAATTGCGTCGAAACGGTCCGGGTCCGAATCTCTGTAGCGGATCCTCACTGCTGATGAGTTCTAGAATAGTACGAAACGTCCGTCCACTGCATTCTGTTATAGTGGAACAGGAAAATGTAAATTTGGGGTAGAATCGTGCAAATTGTGAGATAAGCATGACATTTGGCATGAGTGTTTCTGATAGGTCACTTATTCAGAAAAAAGTGCTAGCCACGAAAAAATTCAACATGGCGGCCATTTTTCAAGTTGGCTGCCAAATTGGCCTCTGTTTTATGGTTTTGCTCAAAAACTATAATGCAAATTGTAATATAAACATGAAATTTAGCATGAGTGTTCCTTGAAGGCTACTCATTCAGGTGAAAGTGCTAGCCACGAAAAAAAAAAAACAATATAGAGGCCACTTTTTCAAGATGGCTGCCAAACGGGCCTCTGTTTTATGATTTTGATCTGAAATCATAAATTAGTTGAATTTGATGAAATATTTTTGATTATCAATTCTAAATCTGAGTGAGAGAACTCAATGATTGCACTGTTTCAATTGATTTGGCATGATATAGCGCCCATACCCTACGGTGGATAATTACATGAAATGATTTAAAGTCGACATTTACAATCCTGATGAAATGTCCAATTCAACGTCAAAATTACTTTCTGTGATAATACCCAGCATGGAAATTGTCCATATCTGAGAAAATATCTACAGGTCATATATATTCTTACAACTCTCTGCATTTGAATTTCAATAGGCTAACCTTCCAAGAACCGGCGACAAATGTCCAGCCCGAAGTTCATTCGTTGTTGTTTACTAAATCTCACAAGGGCAACTGCAAAGCGTAGTACAGCCTGTTCCAACCTTTGAACACTTGCATCGTCCTCCACCACATTTTATCTTACATCCGCACTTTGTCAATTCACGAGAGCTTTTAGAAATTGGTTCCAAGGAAGTGCAGGCAACTTTCCATTTGTTACCGTCTTTCAACCATCCCCACTTGGAAGGACACGGAAGCTCTGGATCACGAACGACGGACGGTCCCCAGATATGTCCTGCTTGAAAGGCAGCACGTTTGACATGTTCCTTTAGCGCTCCTTGTGTTGGCAGGATTCATTTGTATGACCTCTGCTTCCTGGCAAAGAGATCTAACCTTGTTTCATCTACTGTAGTAGCAGCACTTGACCGGTCATACATCAGAACAACAAATCTCTCTAGAACTTGTAGATCAGACTCATTAATTTCAGGAGGACAGTGACTGAGTTTCGCAAATGTAGCCGAGGCATCGTTGCAAACATTCCATGTCTGCCATGCTTTTTTCCCTTTGCCATTGAATCCAGATACCACATCTCATCAGGAAAACGCATGGAAGAATAGTATCCCTTCGGTTTTTTCCGGTCCCAAAGAAGATGCAAGGTCGCGTATTGGGATCCATCGAGTGTGCTCCCCCATGCCATAGGCGATCCACATTTTCTCCATGTTCATTGCAGTGAAAGAAGACACCAGGCTTAAGCCTATGACTAAAATGTCCGTGTCATTAGCTTCAATCATGAGAGACTTGGGTCCATCCTTAGCCGCATTCCAGACATGCAAAAATATCCGGGTATCTACCTCTTCATATGTGCAAGGAGCCAATTCGTCTATCTTAGTATCAGGGTGGCTGGAACTTGATAGAGCATTTTCCTCTCGTGTTACAATTACTTCATTCGTTGTGGTCATTTTACCCACTTAGTCAGCAAGGAAATTCAACAACTCTGTTTTGTTGGCGCTGTCCCTTAGAAAGCTCTTCCAATTAGTCGGTGTTTTGCTCTTTGCCGTTACTCTCCTCCTGATAGCTTTCCCGCGTTTTGATCGTGCTTCAGACTTCAAACTAGACTCATGATAGACATCAAAAATGATATCTGTCCTCTTGTAATTGCTACTGTAGTATTGCACCTTAGGAAGAATATCCTGTCTGGCATATTCTTCAAACGTCTTCGGTGTCCTAGGCGTTACTGTATTGACTAGAAATGCACCATCTACTATGAGTACGTCAGTTTCTGGCTTCGTGTCTGGAAGCTCCACCTCGGTTTGCAGGACGTCCACGAGATCAGACTTAGTAGCGACATGTAGTTTGCCTCGCTTGCTGAGTGACGGAGGGAAAGATTGGTTCTCATGTTTGAAAAACTCTGGTAAATCACACCCTCTACTTTGGCAGGAGATGAAAAGGCGGGAGAACAGTTGAGAATCCTCCTTTAGTAGCTGGGTTTCTGATTTCTTTGTTGGATCTGTGCTTGTTTTGAAGAAGTCTTTATTATTCCGTTTGATTGGTTGATAGAAATGCTGACTGTCGGTCTTGAGTTTATCCATGAATGTTTGGAATTGCTCTTTCCCTTTCTCCAGATGAAATGCAACCAGCAGCGCTGCTGTAGGATCAGCAATTTCCTTAGTGTCAAGCAACAGTAAATCAGTGGACTCCTTCCTTTCTTCCCCTCTTTGCTTCCTGATACGGCTTCATAGTCAGCAACGAATTTTCTAATTTCTGGACCAGCCACCATCCACCTCCGAAGAGCTGATGGATCCTCTCTCAGACAAACAGCTCCCCCTCCCCTTTGATAACGGCATTGTTTTGTTCATGGGCTTGGTCGATTGCCATTGCGGAGAAATTCCTGTCAATTTTATGAAACACGAAATTCCCATTGTGGAATTCTCTGACGACCTCGGGGTACTGCTTCTCTAACGATATCATATCACGCAGATGAATAGGAAGCCATCTTGCATAGTTGACATTGTTGTTGGCAAAGAGGTAGGGTATCAGTTCCGACAGTGATTCTCGATACAGATTGAAATTCCCTTCTCTAAATGCTCGCACCAGTGTTAAGATTGTCAATTCCATGTTCAGGATAGAGAACCAAAATGCGGACTGTGGACTCTCCTTCTTTCGACTATCACACCATTCCACAAAGCTGAAGGCCTCCTCATCGCCATCAGAATGTTCGGCAAGGTACGAACTGTAGACTTTCTTCAGGAGCTGAAACAAACTGCATGCTGTGACCTGATGTGCTTGACGTGTTTTAGTGACATTGGTTGCCAACAGGAATGAATCTGCAGTTCTGGAAGAGGCTACATCAGCTTCAACAAGTGCACTTGTCCATCCACTGTCTGCTAGCATTGACCCAATAGATTTCAGTGCTGTCATCTCAATGTGAAGCTCACCAAACATGATCACAAACTTGTCTTCTCCATATTCCTCTGGCCACTGTATTTCTTTTGCCATGGCATAGAGTGGTTGATCAGCTGCTAGGACGGGAGTTTGCCCTGGGTTAAGAAATGCTACAACTTCCCTTACTTTCTTCATGGCATGCTTTATTGTGGCAACGCTGTGAGCTTGATCTCGGAGAAGAGGTAGCAAGGAAGTGATGCTGGTTTCACATTCGCTTGTCCGTTTCTGGCTCGTATGATGAGCTGACCATGTTATATTGGATTCATCATCTACATCGGTGGTACGTTGAACTTTTTCCAACCATTCGTATTCGACTCTGATGTTCCTTTGGAAGAGACTGGGGTCAGGCAGTGATACTTCATCTACTGAGGCAGGGGTTGGGTTCTTCTTGAAGTAGACTGGCGCGATGTTTGTATAATCCTCTGGAAGCTCAGGAACCTTTCTTGTCCTACTGTCTGTTATTTCCGGTGAAACCTGCTGTTCTCCTCTGTTTTCCTTACTTGGGTGCTGGAACATGGAAATACTTTTACCATGGAATGACGTGCTAGCTGTGGTGGCCGTGTGATTGTGATCAATGTTGTCGACAGCGGCCGTAGTGAACAGCCCTTTACGCAGCACTGGTTGGCACACAACATCTTCTTCAACATACTGTTTTATGACAGTTTCACCAAGCTTGCCGGATATCTCTAATACCCTGTCATACGATATGCTTAGTCCATGCTCATGGAATTTATCAATCAACTCTCTATTTCGTGTCTTGGCGTACACCTTCAACCCAACATAGACAGCAAAAGAGGTCTCACGGTCTTTAGAATGTATTTGGATTGTCAATCCTTCTCTTCATTTTGAGTAGCAATTGAACTGTAAAAGCTGAGCAATAGCTAAGTCTGATTTCGCTATTCCGTTCGTCAGATGTGATTTTATATCAACACCATGTTCAATGCTGCACACGAACTGAAGAAGTGCAGGTGGGATAGCCTCCTCACCAAAGCCATCTTTGAGCTCGCTGCTGAATTTTGTCTTGTGCTGGAGCATTTCTTTTCTCAGGATATCTGCTGCCTTAGATAGATGGAGAGCATTGCTATACTGGCTAGCTTCATGGAGCACTGGTCCTGTGTCCGCTTTGAAGGCAATGAGTACATCACGTCCCTTCTTATGGGCTTCAATTTCTGGAATCCGAGCAAATAGCTGTTCCTTCAACCTGGTAGAGTGGACATTCGGGGAATCAACCCCAAGCTGTTCCAAGCGAAGCTTGTAAAGTGAGGCTAGGTCAGCAAGCCGAAATACAACCGGTGCTGCTTCCGTGTTGGTGACTTTGCTATCCATGATGTAGATAACTAGTTCTGAAAAGGCTACTGGGTATAAATCCTTCCCTGGATCACTACTCTCGGCTTTCTCTAGGGAATTGAGGTACGCTCTTTCAGCATCGTACAACTTTTGGAGGCATCGAAGGTGGTACTTAACCTCCAGGGCAACAACGTCTCCGCAACTTAACTTTGCAAGGAGCTTTCCATCGTTCAGGGTTCTGGCACATTGATTGAGGTGTTCATTTAGTCTCTCTGTCATCCCCTCTTGCAGATTCGAAATAACATCTTCTTCACAGAAGAAACATTTCACTTTTGGAATGTCTGCAGATTTTAATCTCTTGCTTCGAGGTTGTTTGCTGTGCTCTTTCTAACTTGGTGTTGTTGAACAGCAATCGGCAACTCTGTAGTTTAATAGTGAGTGGACCATTGCTATTAGGAATATAAGTGAGTCCGTCATCTCTATATAGACTTACTTGCTTCGGATTTACGATTCTACTAAGGATCTCAAGCATATACAAACACAAAAGGTCAACAACCTGGGCCGAATCATACACTCCCATTGGAACGTCAAAGTCAATACTCTTGCATTTAGTCCAGGTGGAATTGTTAAGTGTCAAGAGTGATTTCATGGCAGTAAATATAACATTTCATCATCAGTTACATCCATGTAGTTTTTTTGCAAAGTTGATGCATTCAACCAATAGATTTCTGGATCTAAATGTATAAAAATCAATAACATCAAATTTATTGAAGATGCCCTTTTTTACCATTTATATTACTGAACCATTTAATGGTATCAGAAGAATCCTTCCAAAGATTGGCCCCAGTAGTAATCACAGGTCTTTCAGTAATTTTTTAAATAAAGTTTTTAGAGATTAAGCCTAGCTCTGATTTAGTAGGATTTATTAGCCAAGATTGAGTATTATCGAGAAGTTAGGTTTATGATCTTTCAAGAAAAATATAAGCATCTTTTGTATGGAATTTCTCCATCAGCCATATTCATATTATGGGCTAAATCGGCCGTCACATTATTAAACATAATAATCCTATTATCATGTCTATCATTTTGGTAATTATCTGTTATTTTGTTTGTTGTGAACTTGTGCTATTTAGATCGATCACATTTATAAATATTCTTAGACTTGTCCGCACTGACCCAAAAGTTATTAGAGTCATTAATTAATGACTTTGTTAAGTCTTTCTTGAAAAGGGTTAA